TGTATAAATTAGCAACTCATTCTTTCATGGAGTTTTGTCAAACACAGGGTATAGTGTAAATGAGATTCTATTTTTCGGTTGTTTGTCAGTTACCATGTTAGCTCTCAATATGGCCTTCTTACTGGTGAAGGAAATTCAAATGACTGATTTTTATGAAATTAGTATGGATGTTTCTTACGACAGAGCCAACACAACTGTTTCCTAATTTCATAGAAGGTTACCTATTGGCACTGGCCACTGTTCAGTGGAAATTCAATGAAACTTAGTGTGTGTTAGGACATGGGAGAACTACTAAAGTAGGAAAGAATAATGAAAAACACCCTTCTACCACTGGGTTTCGAACTAGTGGCTCTTCGGTCTCTAGTCAAAACTCTACTGCTTGACTTATGGGAAATTCCACTAACTGAGGACTGGTCAGGTGACTCTCTACTTTTGTACTAGTGAGCAAGTGACCCTTCAGCCTTTAGCCAGACAGTCTCCCATCCACATAAAGGGAAATTTCCACAAGCTGAGGCTATTAAGGCAACTTGTACTCTGAACTTCTACACGAGAAAGCTAGTGACCCTTCAGTCTCTAGCAAGACACTCTACCACTCAATTTAAAGGGAAATTCCTACTAGCTAAAGCTAGTAAGGCTCTCTTAGACTTACAGAGAAATTCCCACTAGCTGAGGCTATTAAGGTTCCCTTAGACTTACATGGAAATTCCCACTAGCTGAGGCTGTTAAGGCTCCCTTAGACTTACAGGGAAATTCCTACTAGCTGAGGCTATTAAAGCTTCCTTAGACTTACACGGAAATTCCCACTAGCTGAGACTGTTAAGGTGACCTTAGACTTACAGGGAAATTCCCACTAGCTGAGGCTATTAAGGTGACCTTAGACTTACAGGGAAATTCCCACTAGCTGAGGCTATTAAGGTGACCTTAGACTTACAGGGAAATTCCCACTAGCTGAGGCTGTTAAGGTGACCTTAGACTTACAGGGAAATTCCCACTAGCTGAGGCTATTAGGTGACCTTAGACTTACAGGGAAATTCCCACTAGCTGAGGCTGTTAAGGTGACTTGTACCCTCAACTTCTTCATTACTATGCCATCTGTTTTTAATTTCACCCAATGTTTATCACTTGCTTGCCTCTGGTTGAAATTTCTATATCATTTAGATTTGATAAAATTTGGTATAGTCTTTTAATTCATATGATGCTTTGAGTACAATAACAATTTCCATAAGCATTAGCAATGAATGCTGGCATATTTTGGAGGATAATGTAACTGCTAATCCTTGTTACAATTTTTTACTTGTTTCCTGTAAACGTTTTATTGTAACCTTTCGTTTGCTAAAACCAAGAGAACGATGCAGGCCTTAGCTATGGGCTTTGATCGTTTAAACGAGAATATTGAACAATCAAAGTTGTTAAATGCAGCTTTTATCAAATGAACTAAATTTTTATCTGTTATTTCCAAAGAGTCTTCCAATGTTATGGGTGATTGTTTACAATCATTGTCAATTGCTCATAATTCAAATACTGTGAATTTGTAATACTTGTGTGTGTGCGTGTATGCGTACTTAATGCGTGCGTGTGTGCGTGTATGGATGTGTGTGTGTGTAGGGGGGATTGTTGTTAATTTATCTGTATTCATGGTCAATAAAGGTATTGTGAAATTAGATATTCACAGTGAATCAAAATCAAAGACAACACCTGTTGGGCCTGTATACATGAATACCCTGGAAACTTACCCACACCAGAAAACTATGAAATTTTAGCCCCATGCAATTAAACTGTAATTGATTTGAAACCTGTAACTGATAGTTGATATCAAAGCAACAGTTTAACTCTAGATAATTAAAACAGTGATTAGGTAGTCAGTTACTCTCCTATTGATTGAGTAAGAAATCCTTTCTGATATTGTATAATCGTTGAGCTCCTCTGGGGACTGACATACTTAGTCACTGTAAGCTGGAGACTGGCACGTTTTTCTGTCCCTAAATCAATATTTTTACAATGGTGTTGTTTTAGCAGCTCATACTGAGGTATGCTGAAATATTGCCTTAAATGGGAACATTGAATGAATTGTAGCTGTGTTGACTCCCCTCTACCAGCTGATTTTAGTTAGATGTAACAGCCAAGTCTGAAATAATTGTATTAATATTCAGGCTGTACCTACATAATTCAATAGCTGCTGTCAGTTGAAATCACGTAGGAAATCCCAATCAAATACATTAACTTGCTGCTATCTCTAGTTATGGTTGTGTTACATACCGTAGGATTTAATAGAATCACATATACCCGTATTTGATGAAGTACATGAAGACATTTCTCAATTGGTAGGTTAACACTGTATAGCTACTGACTATAAAACCCTGGCAAGTTAACACTGTATAGCTACTGACTATAAAACCCTGGTAGGTTAACACTATATAACTATTGACTATAAAACCCTGGTAGGTTAACACTGTATAGCTATTGCCTATAAAACCCTAGTAGATTAACACTGTAGGTATTGACTATAAAACCCTGGTAGGTTAATACTGTATAGCTATTGACTATAAAACCCTGGTAGGTTAACACTGTATAGCTATTGACTATAAAACCCTGGTAGGTTAACACTGTATAGCTATTGGCTATAAAACCCTGGTAGGTTAACACTGTAGGTATTGACTATAAAACCCTGGTAGGCTAACACTGTATAGCTACTGACTATAAAACCCTGGTAGGTTAACACTGTATAGCTATTGACTATAAAACCCTGGTAGGTTAACACTGTAGGTATTGACTGTAAAACCCTGGTAGGTTAACACTATATAGCTATTGACTATAAAAACCCTGGTAGGTTAACACTGTATAGCTATTGACTATAAAACCCTGGCAGGTTAACACTGTATAGCTACTGACTATAAAACCCTGGTAGGTTAACACTGTAGGTATTGACTATAAAACCCTGGTAGGTTAACACTGTATAGCTGTTGACTATAAAACCCTGGTAGGTTAACACTGTAGGTATTGACTATAAAACCCTGGTAGGTTAACACTGTATAGCTATTGACTATAAAACCCTGGTAGGTTAACACTGTATAGCTGTTGACTATAAAACCCTGGTAGGTTTACACTGTATAAGTATTGACTATTAAACCCTAGTGGAATAGGGTAGGCTATAGAATACTTTTAGGTTGACAATATATAGGTATAGGCTATAGAATATGTTTAGGTTGACAATATATAGGTATAGGCTATAGAATATGTTTAGGTTGACAATATATAGGTATAGGCTATAGAATATGTTTAGGTTGACAATATATATATAGGTATAGGCAATATATAGAATATGTTTAGGTTGACAATATATAGGTATAGGCTATAGAATATGTTTAGGTTGACAATATATAGGTATAGGCTATAGAATATGTTTAGGTTGACAATATATAGGTATAGGATATAGAATATGTTTAGGTTGACATTATATAGGTATAGGCTATAGAATATGTTTAGGTTGACAATATATAGGTATAGGATATAGAATATGTTTAGGTTGACAATATATAGGTATAGGCTATAGAATATGTTTAGGTTGACAATATATAGGTATAGGCTATAGAATATGACATTATATTTAGGATATGACAATATATAGGTATAGGCTATAGAATATGTTTAGGTTGACAATATATAGGTATAGGCTATAGAATATGTTTAGGTTGACAATATATAGGTATAGGCTATAGAATATGTTTAGGTTGACAATATATTTGTATAGAATATTTTAAGGTTGACATTATATAGGTATAGGTTATAGATTACTGGTAGATTGACTCTCTAAGAAATAGGCTATAAAACTAAGGTTTGCATTTTGTAGGTGACAGTATGACATTAGCATGAGCATTGATCTATTGCTGATAATGTTGTAGACATGACATAAACATCAAAGTTGGATGATGGGTGATTATTAAAAAAGACACAAACCCACTAAATATGAGAGTACGTGATTGTATCAACCAGGGCTGATGGTTGCCATAAAATAGTCATACAAGAAAGGTTATTTGAAAATATTGGTAGCCAGCATGCAATAATCAATTTCTTATTCTCTGTGTTAAGCGTGATTATGAGATTATGTAAACAGCACTGACTGGTGTTGGTGTCCTTTATCACCTGGTAGATGACTTACTCTGTGTTGTTTGCTGATGACTAGGGATAAACTTTCCTGGGACTTGGTGACTCCTGGGCCCTTCAGCAATAATTACAGAATAATTAGCGTCGTAAGGAACATCACAGCTGTCAAATACAGACACTTGCCAGGCTTAATAGATTATGAAAATCAACTCTGAGCAAGAAAACTTGCTTGGGATGGATTTTCGGATTGAACAATCAAACCTCAATATCACTATAAATACAAACTAGGCTCTGATCACCATTTCTGGACAAAAAAGCAAATAGACCAATGAAACTCAAACTTTGTACACTGCCTTTTTCAGCATTGCTTGCTTTGGAATGCTTTTAGAGTCAAAACATCAAGGTTTCTGATGTTGTAGATAGAATATTGGTTTCTGCCCCATATTTCTAGAAAATTTGTTCTCTTTGACCAATTAAACTCAAACCTTTCATGCTCAATCATTTGAGATTTCTTCCATCAGTTAAACTTAAACTTTATATACTGTGCTTGTGATGGGATTGTTTTTTAAAGTTAAAAAGTCAGTTAAGGTCAAGGTCACCATTAACATCAAAATAATATTACTTTGATCACAATAACTGAAGTTCCTCTTGACTGATCCTGATCATTCTCAAAATTTTCAAACCAGTCCTTTGACAGTCTGCTGATTGGGGGACTAGTTCAGAGATGTCTTATTTTAGTATTCAGCACATAGGGAAAAGAATGTTGAATAACATAAAATGTGATGTCATAATACAGGGGTTCTCTGTAAATCAGAATTTGTTCTTCAAACATTATAGTGAAATTTCATCTTTAGTTACAGCCAAAATTCAATACTATTGGCAAACTTTCTATGTTACAGAGATGGACGACTGCGAGAAAGAGACCAGATTTTGGCCATTGATGGTCAGCCCATAGATATATCCCATCAGGAGGCTATTCGTATCCTTCAGAGTGCGCGTGGCCTGGTGGAGCTGATTGTTGCCCGTGGGCCAATTCCACAGCAGCCAGACCTTGTCAGCAAGGACACGTTTGCCGATCAACAGGCTGATGTGCAGGTTGACGCCGGATCAGCAGATATGGTGGTAAGTGGTACCTCAGAGTAGAAACAGAAAGCTTGATATTTAGTCCAGCTTCCAAAGTTTAGAAAAAGAAAAAAATATTGACTCATATAGAGTCACAACCAGGGGATCAAATTTGTTAATACCTTCAATAAGCTTCTGATGAACTAGAAGAATGGTGATACTTCACCACTAGATCCCTAGATAAATTCCAACAAATTGTGCAAAAAAAAGGATCTCGCCCATATTCAAAGTCATAGAATCCACCACTTGTAGATTAACAATATCTAGCCTTGAGTGTAAAAGTTTGCTAGTGAACTCACCTCATCTATCCATCATCAGTCTGTCTGTCTGTCCCATGGTTATCTGTTCATAGGATATCAGACAACTTCTTGTTTATAGACAAGAGGCCATTTGTCATGATATTTGATATGTAGGTGCTTGGGATGATATGTGATAAAGTTTGCAAAATGAAACGACCTTGACTCATATTTAAAGATTTGTTAAAACCTTCAAACAATTTCTACTGATTAACATAAGAGCCTGAAATCAAAGCTCATTTGGCTGCTTTGTTCCTGTGATGAAGCCTTACAAAGTTTGTAAAAAGAAATTACCTAGACCCATATTTCAAGATTATGCGGGTAAAATTCGTTAAAACCTTTTGAACAAAGTCTTGTGAATAACCAAAGGGACTGGAATTGTGATATTTGACTAGTAGATTCCTGACAGAAATCCCTGTTTGTGAAAAGAAATAACCTTGACCTACATTCAAAGTCAAAGAGGTCAAGAGTCGTAAAAAATTTTTAACAACTTCTGCTGATTTTCCATAAAGGCATAGAATCATAATATTTAGCAGGTTAACGTTCCTGAGATTAAGGTTTGTGAACAGGAATGTCCTTGACCACCGAGGTCACAGGGATCAGATTTGTCTTTCAGGGAATAACTCATCAGTTATAGATAAAGGTGTACCTGGAGAACTATTATCTGGGTCATTTTGACTTAATCCACTTTGAATGTATAAAGAATATTGAATACCAGGTGAGTGACACAGGCTGGCATTGAGCCTTTTTTTTTAGCCCGCCTGAGTCGAAGGAAATCTTCAAGCATAACGTAATGTTGTATCAACAAAGAAAGATAACTCTGTCATCATTTTGCTGATGCAATAATCATGAGGCGTGAGTTAAGATCTGAACTCTTTCTTTATTCGTTACGTCCAGAGATGTCACTGAAAAGTGTCCCTGTATCCTTCGTGATGATCATCACAGCAGACACGCCTTCTTGACTTGGTTAGACATTAAGATGTCTCAGAACACGCTGGTGTTACTCCCCTGTTTGGTTGGTAATGTTGTAGGTAGAAATTCACTGACAAAATGTGTTATTAACAAATAAAAGATATCAAAATTAGGATCTTTTTTTAAATAGCTTCGTGTGCTACAACTGTAATCTTTTATTGAAATCGTTAAATCCTTGGAAATTTTTGGCTTTTTGTATGACTGTTTACACTGACAACCAAATTGTAGAATCAGATTTTACTTTCAAATTCAAGGGCATTGATAACAAAAAAGTGAAAAAAAAATCAATTCAAACATTTCAATATAAATACATTTGATTACAGTTTGCAGTAACAATAAAAGACAAATAGGTGTTTCTGTAAACACAGGGATGTGTGATAATTACATGTGTGACACAGTCATTAGATAAATAGTGCTACTTTCTGTCATTCTATCAAATGTTTTTGTCGTATTTCCATGTAAATATTCGGTGAACAAATTTTTAACCATTTAATACAATACATAGTATCCAATGAATGGTGACTATGGGTATCATCGTAAGCGCCACACAGCTGTAAAGCATCATTTTATCGAAGCAGGCACTTCTAGCCTTGTTCTCAGAAAAACATTACACACGAAAGGAAAACCCAGTAACTGCTTCCCGTTGCCAAATTTGAATTTAGTGTTGAAAGAATTAATGGTGTGATGACCTTGAAAGAGTCACTAAAAACAATACAAAGTTAGAGATTTATCTCAGATAGATACCATATGTGAGATTCTATGTATACAGTCAGTGCTGGAAATGTCCCCCTCAAATAGTAGGGGTCTTTTGATGTCTCAACAGCTGTCCAGCACATGGCACATTATTATTTCACCTAGGAGGAAATAACAAAGAGAATAGAAGGGATATTATTTTACAGAGGAGGAAATAACAAAGAGAATAGAAGGGAAATTATTTTACCTGATAGGAAATAACAAAGAGAATAGAAGGGAAATTATTTTACCTGAGAGGAAATAACAAAGAGAATAGAAGAGAAATTATTTTACTTGATAGGAAATAACAAAGAGAATAGAAGGGAAATTATTTTACCAAAGAGAATAGAAGGGAGAGGAAATAACAAAGAGAATAGAAGGGAAATTATTTTACAGATGAGGAAATAACAAAGAGAATAGAAGGGAAATTATTTTACCTGAGAGGAAATAACAAAGAGAATAGAAGGGAAATTATTTTACCTGAGAGGAAATAACAAAGAGAATAGAAGGGAAATTATTTTACCTGAGAGGAAAAATAACAAAGAGAAATAACAAAGAGAATAGAAGGGATATTATTTTACCTGAGAGGAAATAAGAAAGAGAATAAAAGGGAAATTATTTTACCTGAGAGGAAATAACAAAGAGAATAGAAGGGAAATTATTTTACCTGAGAGGAAATAACAAAGAGAATAGAAGGGAAATTATTTTACCTGAGAGGAAATAACAAAGAGAATAGAAGGGAAATTATTTTACCTGATAGGAAATAACAAAGAGAATAGAAGGGAAATTATTTTACAGAGGAGGAAATAACAAAGAGAATAGAAGGGAAATTATTTTACCTGAGAGGAAATAACAAAGAGAATAGAAGGGAAATTATTTTACCTGAGAGGAAATAACAAAGAAGAGAATAGAGGAAATAACAAAGGGAAGGGAAATTATTTTACCTAACAAAGAGAGAGGAAATAACAAAGAGAATATTTTACCTGAGAGGAAATAACAAAGAAAAGGGAAATTATTTTACCTGAGAGGAAATAACAATGAGAATAGAAGGGAAATTATTTTACCTGAGAGGAAATAACAAAGAGAATAGAAGGGAAATTATTTTACCTGAGAGGAAATAACAAAGAGAATAGAAGGGAAATTATTTTACCTAACAAAGAGAATAGAAGGGAGAGGAAATAACAAAGAGAATAGAAGGGAAATTATTTTACCTGATAGGAAATAACAAAGAGAATAGAAGGGAAATTATTTTACCTAAGAGGAAATAACAAAGAGAATAGAAGGGAAATTATTTTTAACAAAGAGAATAGAGGATTAATAACAAAGAGAATAGAAGGGAAATTATTTTACCTGAGAGGAAATAACAAAGAGAATAAGAAGGGAAATTATTTTACCTGAGAGGAAATAACAAAGAGAATAGAAGGGAAATTATTTTACCTGAGAGGAAATAACAAAGAGAATAGAAGGGAAATTATTTTACCTGAGAGGAAATAACAGAGAATAGAAGGGAAATTATTTTACCTGAGAGGAAATAACAGAGAATAGAAGGGAAATTATTTTACCTGAGAGGAAATAACAAAGAGAATAGAAGGGAAATTATTTTACCTGATAGGAAATAACAAAGAGAAGAAAAGGGAACTTATTTTACCTGAGAGGAAATAACAAAGAGGAAATAACAAAGAGAATAACAAAGAGAAGAAGGGAAATTATTTTACCTGAGAGGAAATAACAAAGAGAATAGAAGGGAAATTATTTTACCTGAGAGGAAATAACAAAGAGAATAGAAGGGAAATTATTTTACCTGAGAGGAAATAACAAAGAGAATAGAAGGGAAATTATTTTACCTAAGAGGAAATAACAAAGAGAATAAAAGGGAAATTATTTTACCTGAGAGGAAATAACAAAGAGAATAAAAGGGAAATTATTTTACCTGAGAGGAAATAACAAAGAGAATAGAAGGGAAATTATTTTACCTGAGAGGAAATAACAAAGAGAATAGAAGGGAAATTATTTTACCTGATAGGAAATAACAAAGAGAATAGAAGGGAAATTATTTTACCTGAGAGGAAATAACAAAGAGAAAGAGAATATTTTACCTGAGAGGAAATAACAAAGAAATTATTTTACCTAAGAGGAAATAACAAAGAGAATAGAAGGGAAATTATTTTACCTGAGAGGAAATAACAAAGAGAATAGAAGGGAAATTATTTTACAGAGGAGGAAATAACAAAGAGAATAGAAGGGAAATTATTTTACCTGAGAGGAAATAACAAAGAGAATAGAAGGGAAATTATTTTACCTGAGAGGAAATAACAAAGAGCTCTAGAAGGGAAATTATGTGTTCCCTTTGAGAGGAAATCACAAAGGCCATCACAACAAATTATCAACATGTGTTACCTGAGAGGAAATAACACCTAGGAAATTATCATAACACATTATAGAAGGGAAATGTATTCCCTTTAGGTCCCAGGACCTATCCATCACAAGAGAATTAGGGAAATTATGTGTTCCCTTTAGGTCTCACACCTGGCCATCACAACACATTATCAAGATGTGTTCCTTTTTTGTTCTCAGACCTGGCCATCACAACACATTATCAACATGTGTTCCCTTAGGTCTCAGACCTGGCCATCACAACACATTGTCAACATGTGTTATCTTTAGGTCCCAGACCATCCCATCTGCAATGCTGTTTCAGTCACAGTGATTTCTGACAATTATTTCCTGTGCTGAAAGTTGTGGAGGGGTATAGGGATGATGCTCCGTTCACATTACTAAGATATCCTTGTCCCAATATATGTCTTGTAAAGTTAGAACCAGGGAAAATAATACAAAAACATTTTTACATCTGTGTTTGTAATTACCAGTTTTGCCATTTGATTTCTATAGTTTACACTTATAAGCATTGAAATTATTGAACAATTTTTAGCTCACCTACCTGGTGGTAACATTTAAGGTTACCTCAAATATCATTTTGAGAGGAAAGTTATTTCTTATATA